GGGAGGGGGAGGGAGGGGAAGGGAAGGGGATGGGAAGAGAAGGGGAAAGGAAGGGGAAGGGAGGGGAAGGAAAGGGGAGGGTTGGGAGAGGGTGCAAGGGAGGGGGAGGGAGAGGAGGGAGCGGAAGGGAGGGGAAGGGAGGGGAAAAGAAAAAAGGAAAGAAAAGAAGCCTATATAGATTAGTGAACTGTAGATCGTGAAAGATTGTGAATAATTCAAGCCACACCAAGGCTTAGGATGGAGATCTCCCAAGAGACACAGTGGTGGGTTGGGTTTATTATTCTGATGTTTCTTCTGAAGGTGAAATTTGCTTTTTCTACCTCCCAAAGCATCTTCTAAGACAGAGATATATGTTCAATGGGTGCCTAAATCAAACCTGATTAGAGACATAATAGCAACCCTGTACAAATGAGCATGCTATCCTCAGATTAGAATTAAATGTCAGTGGCTTCTAAGACTATGTGACCACATTTGGGCCTCAACTACTGTCTTACTGATTAGGATGGCAGAGTGAAGCTAGAGGAGGCAGTGCTTATTTATATCCCTTCACCCATCTGTCTCGGCTGTCCCTTCCTTCCTTTATTAATCTATGGAGAGCTATCTGGGGAATAAAGAAATAGAAAGGAAAAAAGCCTCAGAGTAGCCATTTACCAAACATGAATATCCCTGGATGCCTCGGAATGCTTGATCCTAATAGCATGTCTGTTTACCAAACCAGTTTTGAAGAATGCTTGAAATAGAGATAACACTTTTAATACTCTCAACAGATGTTCCAGGCGAGTATGTCAGCCATGATCATTAGTAAAAAAATCGGACACATGGTCATAAGACGAGCAGTTTATTCTTTTAAAAATGTTGGACAATATCACAAGCTACTAAAGTCTAAGGAAACCTAAGTACATTTACATTTTTCAAAGGTCATCTATAGCGTAGCAACATTAGCTGATCCAGCCTGCAGAAACCTATGAAAATTAATGGCACTTCTGATGTGGAGGTTAAGGCCCAGAAGTGCTTCCATTTGGAAACTTACTGTAGAGGGAGAACTGCAGGTGGTTCCATGAGAGACACATGCAGGTACCTGAAACAACACCCAAAGCAAGGTCAGCACGAGCCAAGGACTTCGGTTTTATAGAATCTCACTTAGGCCACAGAAAGCTTTCCAGTGCTTTTAACAGAATGGAAGGAAGCTGGCTGACTATAAGTATTAAAAGCTGACAAATTATAAATCTAGGTCTCTTCAAATTTATTTGTTAATTTGCACATGTAACCTTGTATTTCCAACCTGGCACCAGATATACAATTTAACCTATTTCTAATTCTGACCATTACTATAACCCATTAAGCTTTAAACAGAGAGTTAAGATATGAAAATGTCAGTGACTTACTTTGAAGCCTTATACTTCTCCCTAATTGCTTGCTGAGGTCGATGGGGTATGCCGAGGAACGCTTTATGAAGCTCACTCAGACAAGGCACAATTTCACTTAATGAATACCCTGTAAATGCAGCAAGGGTTTCTGGCTAATCAAGACAAAAGAAAAAGATTGCTTCACATAACTTTATATTAGAAATCTGAAGATAATCAATGTGAAATAAAGGAATTAGTTCCTTAGTAAATATCCACATTCATCTCAAAAGAAACCAGAACCTCCTTCAGAGACCTTAGATGTAAAATATCAGAAAGAACAGCCAGGGATCTAAATTTTCTCATATTAGAAATGTATAATGCTCAATTTGGGGCTCGATCACTTTCCTCGTTCCCCCATGAGTGAAATTTTTACTGGTCCTTATAGAGCCCTGCTTGCCTGCCCATTCTATTTGTACACAAGATGAAAAATTTTTAGTCAAAACATTACAGTGCTGGAATAAGAATTACTTTTAAAAAAGTAAAAGAAAAAAAAAAAAAAAAAAAAAAAGAAAATGCAGCAGAAAAAAGTAGAAGCATTCATGAAAATAAAGGTAGACACCCCACTTCTTTTAGCACAACAGCGAGCCTTCAGAACCAAACCTAGGGGGTTCCATTTCTGAAGTTGCCACCTTCTTGGGCAAGAGACCACACTACTGCCCTGTTGCCTCAAAAGCCCGAAGGGCAATCTTCCGGCCATTCTACTTGGACCCAGGATTTTTTTTTTTTTAATGTAGAGGTTAAAAGTCAACAACTTTTGCTTGAAGCAGTCAATGGCTGTACCTCAAGGGGCCTCTATGAATAACAGTGGGCATTGAGGTTTCCAGGCCTGCTTCTATTGAAGGAGCCTGCGATGTTATCTCCTTGACTTCCTGCAATCTCACTCCTCATAGAGTGAAGCCATAGAGTCAAAGCCATAAAGACTGACCTGCAAGACTCAGCAGCATCTTGCGGTCTGCTGTCAAAATGACCAGCTTCTTATTAAAGTAACTCACCCCTTAAGAGGCAATCCCATTCTAGATAGACCTTGAATTTCATCCAGAAAGAAGTTAGAATCTTACCCAAAAGTGCTTGTTCACGGTGTAGTTTGCCAGGCAAAAAGCTGCTGCAGCTATCAATGAAGGAAGATATTTCAAGAATGGGTCCGCTTCAAGTAGACTCAGCTCTGCTACATACTAAGCACAAGAGAGGAAAACACATTGGAATTAGAAATGTGACTAAGGCCACAAGTTAACCTGGAAATGGCAAGGAAATAAATGGTATCTTATCTTTGTTCAATCAGCATCTACAGAAATAGATGCTCAAAATTATTTACTGAGTTAGTAATTGGTATGCCTGCCTATAACAGGAGTAACATTTATGTTGTAGTAAAATGTCAATACATAAGTATTTGGCCTACTCACAAAGTATAGGTGATGGTTTACTTTTCTTATGCTAGTAGGATGGGTATATGCTGGTGAGAGAAAGAAGCACTGCTCTGGCAGCTGGAATTGGAACAGAGATTTTTGCCAAAATACAAAAACATTAAAGCTATTAATTTATCAAGCAAATGCATGCAGTTCAGAGACTAGGACAGCACCAGTGGAAACACCTCATATTAGAAGAAGCATAGCAAGACATGTGGACATCCTTCTTACTCTTTGCAAAGCACAAATACCAGATATCCTAGATTACGGTGGCTGGAGACTCAGTTGATCAAACCAATACTTTAATGCCTTCAACTAAACTTCTGTAACTCCAAACCACCAAATAATGCTCATTACTTAATATATTAGGATGAGATTAGAACCATATTAAACTACATTTACTTTGTTCCCATTCTTTTTTCTTTTTTTTTTTTTTGAGACAGAGTCTCACTTTGTTGCCCAGGCTGGAGTGCGGTGGCATGATCTCGGCTCACTGCAACCTCCATCTCCTGGGTTCAAGCAATTCTCATGCCTCGCCCTCCCGAGTAGCTGGGACTACAGGCATGCATTACTATGCCTGGGTAAGTTTTATATTTTTTGTAGAGACAGGGTTTCACCATGTTGACCAGGCTTGTCTTGAACTCCTGGCCTCCTGTGATCCACCCACCTCATCCTCCCAAAGTGCTGGGATTACAGTTGGGAGCCACCACGCCCGGCCACTTTGTTCCCATTCTATAAACCTAGGAGGTTTCACTTGTATGTGGTCTGTAACCAATAAAGGAATAGTTTCCAAGCTTAAATTTTTAAATAGTTGGGTGATTGATTAGACAACCTGCGCCTGCCAAACAGCCAATAGTAATGCCTTGTAACCAGAAGACGGGTTCTTAAAATTAGCTCTCTTTCGACACTGAACAGTTTTTCTGGGCCTGTGGAGAAAATACTGAAAAGGAAAGAATAACTGAAGAATGATTGGGAAAGGTTGGTTTTTATGATCCTTGGCACTGGAAGCTCCTGGAAGTCATGTGGCATACACACCTTAGCCAGGTTCTCTGTCCTGATGCACACTCCCTGTCGCCTCAAGTACTGAAGGAGAAATTGGTTGGTGGTTGGTACCATCAGATCAAAAGCTAGAACTTTCAGAAGCAAGTGTTCCATTCTTAACAGTTGTCGTTTTGTGTATGTATCATCAGTTATATAGACAAACTCGTCTACTTCGGGAGGATATATCTCTTCATATTTCCTGGGAAAGGAAGAGTTTTTAGAAGTAAAACTTGAAACCTATGGCTCTACTGCCAGTGATACCATAGCTAGGCCTCTCCCCATGACCCTTGCAAACTTACTTGCAGCCACGTAGCCGCTTAAATACCACTAAATGGAACGGGGCCATGAAAATATTCAGAGCTTATTTCTGGACCAAGAACATGATTATTACAAGGATATGTTATATTTACTGCTAGGAGTAGTAACAGAAACAGTTTCCAACTGAGAATTTTAGGGTTGGGCCTGTGACACACTGAAAGATTCCAAATGACGGACACTATAGGTAAATTCCTACTCATTCTACAGACCTCAAATCATTTCATAGAAAAAAAGTGTTAGGATCAACAGAATGACAGAAACAAATTCCATAGGCCTCTAGTTTTTAAAAAGAAGCTGTTCAACTTTCTCCACTGAATTAGCAAATGATGCTTATAGCCAAGAGATACAGTGATATAATTTCACTATGATCAATTTTTTCCTTCTGCCTTTGTTTCTACTTTCTTTAGTGGAATTCTGGCAAGTTTTTACGCATTAATAATGGAATGTTTGAGACCAGAAGAACAGAAATGAAACTACTACTTAGTAATAGGTCACTTAAAGTTGCCACAGCCACAACCCAGCTCTCTTTTCCCACACAATTATGTAATGCTATGAATGACTGATAGTAACAGGAACCAGTTGAAGTAGTTTATTCACTGTAACCAAATAAACTGTTATTATGAGTCATTTGCTAGGTCATGAAGACAGCTTTTTGTAACCACACTGTCTTTAAATAGGACTTCTACTTAGATTAGAAAACAGCCAAAGGCTACACTGCAAAATAGTTAAATTAGATCCCGAATTTGAGCTGATGGCTGCCTTAGTCAGGACATTGGACGTGTTGCTAAAAATCTTAACCATGTGATTGAAGAGTAAACATGTGGTAAGATTCAGTTTCTCAGTCAACCCGTGAGGAGGATGATCTTCTATCAAAGGATGCATGAATGGTTTAAATTATCAAGCATTGCATTTCTTCAGTAAGAAATGGAGGATAAAAATTCAGTGTTTTGACAGGTGATAGTTTCATATTATTCAAGTTGAAAGAACACTTACGAAGCCAAAAGAATAGCTGCTGTTCCTACGAGCTGCAATTTCCCTCTCAGAACAGACATACACGAAAGGAATCTGTCCAGGAAGTTGACAGCCAGGTACAGAGTCTCTGCTCGAAGCTTATATTCTTCCCCAACCTCCACCAGCCAGTCCACCAGAATCGTGCGCATGCCCTCTGTGATGTCCGGTTGCTTCCTCATGTAGTGTGCTTTGGGTCTGTGCCTTATCTGAGTGGGGAAAACGTTCTGATGTTTAAATTGTTGCAACTTCAGAAAGATCACTCCACAATACAGTTGCTATTTAAAAATCTCACAAGCAAAGGTTGGAAAGATCCTGATTCAGAGCCAAATAAATCTTTATCATAATAAGGAAGTGTAAATTTCTGGTTCTGTAATGTAAATTGGCTAGCAAACACCCTGGGGTTGGGCGCAGGGGAGAATGGCAATATGAATTATTCCTAAGAGTGAAATATTCAACATATAAATCCTTTGCATCATGTAGAAACAGTCCAAGCAATTGCTACTTGCCATCACAATTATTGTTTTTCATAGATATCCTTATGTTTGGCTGTCATAAGAGTGCCATTCACTAGCGGTTATGGACCAAGAGTTTATAATTTCTCTTAATAATAAGTGCTTGGGGTCCTGAAAATTGAAGTAGAAGGTACGAAAACTTACTTCAGCTTCTCTAAGGTACTGATGAATTTCTTCAGCATATTCAGTCACACTTATCACATCTGTGTCAAGATCAGATGTATCTTCAGGCTGGGAGTGGAGCAATGAATCTACCAGCATAGGGGAAACTGCAGGAGTTCAACATTGTCAGATAAGTCATTTAATTTAAACACTTGTTCAGTCCACTAACCCTCCACAGACGTTGTGAATGTAATTATTACTTACTGTTTTGCTCTTACTAGTTACTAGCTATTGAATGCTGCAGGCAGTTATAAATACAGGGAGCCATCAGCCATAGACAAGTCAGTTACCTGTGTTGAAATCCAGCAGGAAGTGCAGGTCTGACTTGAGTGTGCTGGTATCTACTTCATACACATCCTCAAACGCCATCCCCTCTCTGCCTGAGCAGCTGTCTCCATTGCCCTGCTCTAGTTCCTCCATGTAGATGTCAAACCCTTGCTTGGGGGGCTCTTGGACCCTGCAATCAGGGAGCGCTTTCTTTCCAGCTGGAGGGAAGGCATTTTCTGATCCAGAAAAACACCTGATTGTTGTGATCCCCTAGAAAAGGTTTAAATCTTTTGTTAGAGGCCACATCAAAGACCACAGAGGCAATGTGAACGGGCATGACAGAGCAGCAGCCTGGGAAGGTAAGATAAATTCTAAACTGAAAAAATTGGCAGTGGTAATTCAATTCCCAAAAATAGATCTTCAAAAGTATAATGTTTCCCCCTTTATCCTTGTCTACATTTGATATATGGAGGAAGAGCTACCTAAATTTTTAATCTACCTCACATAGGTATCAAAGAGAACTGAAGATGGTAGAAAACCTATATCTCTCTTTCAAAATGAAATAGGTACCACATATAAAGGGAAAATTGTAAATTGGCTTTTATATTTATTGCATCATGAGATTTTGTAAGTAGTCAGCATAACTCTTGATGCAGCTGAGTTCCTACAATTCCTCTCCTTAAATAAATGTTTTAGCCAGAAGGCCCCTGTAATGTTTTCATTTTATACCCAGTTATTAAGAAACACAACAATTTTGGAAACTCATGCTGCTAAACTCTCTTATAAGCCACAGAACCTTTATATATGACTTAATGCATTTACTCTTGGGGAAATTTCTCAGTCCCTTCTTTTTCTCTACTCTTACAACATGAACAATGGGAACAACTGTGGTGCATCAAATACAATGCATCAAACACTGTTGCTTATTAAGGTGAGCCATGCTAGATGGTGTGAATGACAGATCAGGGCAGATGGGCAAGCTCTATGAACTTGAGCTATATTTATGCAAATGCTAGCTCTGTCTACCACATTAGTATTTTGTTTATAATGTATCTTGGTGTATACTGTTGAAGGCTACTTCTAAGTTAGTTTGTGTTTCCATAACTTTCCCTTTCATTTATTGAGTTAAATATGTGATTTATGTCTAGTAAGAAAAAGAACAATTATGGTAGCAATGGGGGGGAATCACAAAGACAACAGAGTCACAATCCTAAGTTACTGTAACCAGGTAACCAGACTCCAAGTTACTGCCAAGTTTGACTCTTGCTACATAGATACTGTGTCCATAGGCTGAGACATACATTTAATAAACAAATATTTACTATCTACTATGTGCTAGAAGCTTTTCTAGTTGCCCAGATTTAATTTAGCAGTGAGCAAAACGTTTAATAAGGACTACCCCGAGGGAGTTCATATTCTACTCTGTGAGAGAGGAAGGAAACAAACTCGAAAAGACACAGTAGCAGCAGAGAGAGCAGAGTGAGACAGTCATAAAGAAAAGAGAACGCAACGAAGGACTTACCATAGGCCAATTAAGGATTCGTTTTTATTAATATTATTTTTGGTTTAGTTCACTTGCCAAGGCTGATCTATGAACTGGCTTTTATTCAGAGACAGAAGCCACTGGAATTTTGGGCAAAAGAGTGGTTTAATCTTTTTATGTCTTAAAAGGATTATTCTGGCTGTACAAAGGTGTGGAGACTAAGTAAGCCAATCAACTACAAAACTTGAAAATTCTAAGTGAGATACAATAGGGATTTGATCCAGGGAAGTAACTGTAAACCAGGAAAAGCAAAACAGTTCTAGACATTTTAAAAAGTAGAGCTAACAATATTTTCTCATTAGATTGGATGTGGGGTGAGAGAAAAATAAGAATCAAGGAAGACAAAGTTTTGGAGGCTAAATAACAGGAAGGATGGATATTCCGTTTACTGAGACAAGGAAGACTTGGAAAGAACAGTCTGGGAGTAGGGAAAAGGATGGGGATTTTGGTTTACACAAGCCTGAGGTTGCCTATTATATGATCCAAGTGGAGATGCCAAGTCAGCTCCTGAATATGTGAGCCTGCAGTAGAGCTCAGAGGCCCAGGTCACAGACAGAAATATCAGTCATCATCAAATAAAGTGTTTAAGTCTAGGAGACTTAAGAGACTACTAAGGGAGTGAGTGCAAGATTCACATCAAAGACTAAGCCCTAGGGCACTCTAACTTTTAGAGACTGGATATATAAGTAAGAATCTGGCTATCAAAGCATGGCCAGCGAGCTAGACAGAAAACCTGGAGAGAGTGGTGTTCTACAAGCCGAATGAGAAGAAATTATTTCAAGAAAAAAGAATGATTAACCATGTCAAATAATGCGGATCAGTCGAGGAAGGAAAAGACTATGAACTGAGTCAAAATAGAACAGGAGAAGAACTAGAGGCAGAGAACATTCATTCAACAAAGACTGTGTGCCATGACGGCCAGGCCCAGGCACTGTTCAGTACATATGTCAAGATATGGCAAACTCTCAAGATGTGTGGCTTTAAATGGGACAGCTTCTGTGCCATTACTTAACTTACTTTAAGCACTTACATTACTTTAATTGACATAATGCAAACAGTTCCTAGACCTATTTCCTTGATATGACCATTTCTAGCTGGAAAAGGGACCAGTCAAGGTGATCTTATGAAATCAAGTTCTTCCCTGTGGTCCAGATTCCAGGGCTGTAACATTCAGGGAGAGAATTTAGTTGGAAAGTTTTTAAGATGGAAAAATGGCAATATATTTGTATGCTTATGGGTTTGACCCAGTAGAAAAGAAAAAAACTAATGAGAAAAAGAAAAGGTGCTAGAGTGACATCCTTGAAGAAACAAGAAGACATGAGTATATTGTACACATGGGGGGCTGACCTCCCGTGAGAGCAGGGACATGGCAGACACATAACAGGATGTGGATGGCAGAGTATGTGGCACACGGGAACATGTGGAGATTCTCTTCTGGTCAATTCTATATTTTTAGGAAAATAGGACACAAAGTCATCAGCTGAGAGTGAGCATGAAGGAGGAGGTTCCTGAGGACTAAACAGAGAAGGAAAGGTACAAAATAGGTTTCTAAGCAGGTTGTAGAGCATAGGCACAGGAAAATGCAGAGGTGGCACCAGGTAACTTAAGAGGTTAGCAATTTGGAACTTAAAATGCAACCACCCAACATAGGCACAACTGACAATTCAGAAGAACCAAGTCTCAGTCTTTAAGTTTTAAAAAGAAAGCATTGCTAAGCAAATTAAAGTTCGTTAAAACCACTTCCACTCAATTTTCTCCAAAGCTTTGAACAGATCACATGAACAGTGAGTAGGTGAGGGGCTTCTAATCCAGTTTCTATCATAACTTTCTTTTGACAGAGGTTTACACCTTTCAGATTTTCTCACCTACAAAATAGGAATGGTATGGCTTTCACTCTGTTAAGGTATCTATGATCAGTTAAGTTCACACAACTAATATCTGAGGGGCCATTACCTGTTAGCACAGCTGCTGAGTCAGTACTGGGGAGATGTCAGCTTTCAAATCGCCCTTTTTGGAGTAATCCAGTCTAGCGCGATCTAATCCTGATTTTAACACTATCCCCAATGAAAAGAGCTAAGATTATCCAGGATTGCTTTAGGCACAGCCTGTATCAGTGTGAACACCGCTCTGACCTGGAGGAACCGCAGTTCCAGATTATTTAGAAGCATTCACATTTCCTTTTAGCTCAGCCCTTAAATTACTTTAATATACATAATCCAAACAGTTCCTAGACCTGTTTCCTTTTTAGTGAAAAAATAACAAAGAAAATTAATCACTATTTCTAGCTGAAAACTGAACCCCTCAAGGTGATCATAAGAAATCAGCTGGCCAGGCATCATCGTGGCTCACGCCTGTAATCCCAGCACTTTGGGAGGCCAAGGTGGGTGGATCACCTGAGGTCAGGAGCTCATGACCATCCAGGCCAACACGGTGAAACCCCATCTCTACTAAAAATACAAAAATCAGCCGGGCGTGGTGGTGGGCGCCTGTAATCCTAGCTACCTGGGAAGCTGAGGCGAGAATCCCTTGAACCCGAGAGGCGGAGGTTGTTGCAGTGAGCCAAGAGAGTGCCACTGCACTTCAACCTGGGCAACAAGAGCGAAACTGCGTCTCTCTCTCTCACACACAGAATGAAAGAAAAGAAGAAAGAAAAGAAAAGAAAAGAAAAGAAAAGAAAAGAAAAGAAAAGAAAAGAAAAGGAAGGAAGGAAGGAAGGAAGGAAGGAAGAAAGAAAAGAAGAAAGAAAAGAAAGAAAGAAAGAAAGAAAGAAAGAAAGAAAGAAAGAAGGAAGGAAAGAAAGAAAGGAAAGCAAGCAAGCGAGAGAGAGAAATAGAAAAGAAAACAGAAGAGAAGAGAAAAAGAAAGTAACCAGGCGCTGTGGCTCACTCCCGTAATCCCAGCACTTTGGGAGGCCAAGGCGGGTGGATCACGAGGTCAAGAAATCGAGACTATCCTGGCCAATATGGTGAAACCCCGTCTCTACCAAAAATACAAAAAAATTAGCCAGACGTGGTGGCACATGCCTGTAAACCCAGCTACTTGGGAGGCTGAGGCAGGAGAATCGCTTGAACCCAGGAGGCGGAGGTTGCGGTGAGCCGAGAACGCGCCATTGCGCTCCAGCCTGGGCAACAAGAGCGAAACTCTGTCTCGAAAGAAAAGAAAGAGAGAAAGAAAAGAAGCGGAAGCAACTTTCCTGTAGTCCAGATTCCTGGGTTGTAGTACTCAGGGCTCGGAGCTGTAGGTTCAAGGGCAAGAGAAAAGTACCTAGCACCAAAGCAGGAGAGTCATTCTCCACAAGCATCATTCCCAGTGCGTCTGCGTCATTACCTGGCCACAGGTCCTCCTGTACTGCCCATTTTCAGTGAGCAGCCCTAGCACCGTCCTCTGCGGGGCATCCTGGCCCACCTGGGCTCTGGTGAGTATCTGACAAGCATCGGGACCTCGGGCCACTGTAGCCAGCACAACTCCACTCTTGGGGTTGTTGCAGTGCATTGCCTCAGATTCCACGAGCTGCTGCTACCAACGAAAGAGAAACAGACAAGCTGGTTATTCAACCCCGTCCACCCGTGGCTCCAAGGACACAGCCAACCGCTAGGAGGGAGAGCACAAAGCAATGAGATTAACACCAATTGCTTATCTTCCCAGCAATTATTAGGGCTGAAAGGGTGTGAGCGACCGCACAAGCGATCAAAGCTGCTCTGAATCAAAACTGTCATTTGAATCTCTGAGGGGGGCTTTTTCCCAAGACCGCGTGGAGGGCTGGAAGGAGAGAAATATTCTGACAAAACTCCAAGTCGGGATACTAAGCCCCATGTTAACTGCGAGTTGAAATCTGGGAGTCCCCTCTTGCCCTGCTGAGATACTCATCTCCCCAGACCCCGACCAAAGATCCAGGGTACAGGACTACGGGAAAGCCGGTCTCCGTCCCAAGTGACAGGCAGGGTGCGGCCCCGCGGCCTCCTCCCACCATACAGGAGGTCCCAAAACCTGCCTAGACCCCAAAGCAGGCCCCGGCGTTATCTTTCTGTGTGTCTGGAACAATTGGCAAGTGCACTGGAGGATCGGGCGGCCTACAGGGCTGGGCAGGGCGGGGCAGGGCGGAGCAGGAGGGACCTAGTGTAGAGGGATTCCAGCCTGGGCGGCTGCGGGGCTCCGGGCTGAGGCCGAGCTGCCCACCCGCGTCTGTTGAATCGGCCAATCAGCGGCGCTCCCGGGCCTTCGCGGGGGCGTTTCCATGCCGACCGCGGCGGGTGTGAGCGCCCCGGGGCCTCATCACCATGGCGACCTGCTCACCTGACTAGCTCTGGCTGGACGCGCCGCGACCCCGGGGCGTTCAGGCCCCTGAGGGACCAACGGGCGGCGGCCTCCAGCTCCCGCTGCGCGTCTCCGCCCGGGCGAGCTGGGGTCGGCCGCCGCCGTCGTGGCACGCGCCCCCGGCCTGGAAGGGCGGACTCGCCCACCCCACGATTGCAGCGGCTGGGGAAGGGACTGTTTCCGTGACCCGTTCTCCCAACAGCCGCGAACTGCCCTGGCTAACGTCTTCTGCGCGGCCCGCTCCTGAGAACCCTGGCTCGGGAGAGCGACGCGGGGCCCTCGGGGCTGCGCAGGCCGCGGCGCCCTGCACACACCGGCCCGAGGGCGCGGCTCGCTCCGGGTCGGCTCACACCCCTGCGTTTCCTGCCCGGCGGCGGCCGGGTCCCAGCGACGCGGCCCCGAGTGCAGTCGCTGCGGCGTTGCGCCTCCATCGCTGCGGGTCCTTGCGGGCCGTGCCTGTCCCGCCCGGCTCCCGGTGCCTGTGGCCTGCTAGGCGGGAGAGGAGATGTGGGGTTTTAGGGTCGCGCGTGTGCTCGAGGTCCCCACGAGAGGTCTTCCCCCGCGGGTTCCTGCGCAACTGCGAGAAGCCGGCCTGGGAACGCCAAGATTGTGGCCCAGGAAGAGGAAGGAACGCGGGCGACAGCGCTGGGGCTTGGGACGGTGAGGACGTCGGTGGCAGCGCTCAGGGTGCTGGGGGCTGGGCGGGCGGCCTGGCTGCTTCGGGTAGGGGAGTCCCTGGGGTCTTTACACTGGGGGCTCCGACGCCTGCACAAGTGACTTGACAAGCCAAGCGAAAGAATCGAACTTTCTAAAAAATATGTCCATGTGTATGTATGCACACACACATTACCAGTGCTACAGTTACTACTTTTGCTTTTTTTTTAAATAACCATCCCTAAGTCTCTAAATCACACCCAAAGTCTGTTCAAATGGCCAGTTTATGCAAGCAACGATTATCGCTGGTTTTCTAAGTGTGCATTATTAACGTTTTCACCAAGCAAACTGAGTGTGGGCATTGTTTTAATGGGAAAATATAAGTATTCTAACGAAAGCGCGGGTTGAAACCCGTGCAGTTTCGTCAAATATTAAGAGCAAGTTGGGAAGCATCTGGAGAATCAAGGCTGGATGCGGGAGGAAGGCAGAAGCGGATCTTGTTCAACCTGAAACTCATTTCTATACGTTTGTCACAGAGTTCTATTCCTTGAGAGACAGCAGTCCCCCTTGCACCCCAGATTTCCTGCGTCTTTGAATATGAAGAAAACAAGGGAACTCTGGTAACATCTAGATTGTCGCAACAGAGTCAGACGCCGACGGGGACCATGCTCTGCTTCGAATGGTGAACGAAAGGAGGATTTCTGTCCTCTTGCCTGGCGCCACTGTCGGATGTTTTCCCGGGAGCCCTCTCCCACCTGCCTACAGTGTTGTGATTTCCTGGAACTCTGAAGGCCTCAGTGGCTAACTCCGTCAGGGACTCCGCAGCACGTCCTTCCAAGAGCCCGAGTCGCTTGGGAGCGGACAAGATTGGCTGCGCTCAGGACATCTGGTCCTCTCTGTTCACCCCTTTTCATCTGATTTCCTCAGACAGAATTGACCGAAACCTCACACACTTCAACTTTTCTCCCAAACAGAGGCGCTGGCGCAGTGTTCTTGGAACCTGTGGTTTTGATCCTCTTTTCTGGGATTGAAGCTGAAGCCAGGGTTGGGACGAGGGCGTGCAGGAATGGAGAGCGCCCCACTCCTGCAGAGGCAGCTCTGAGATTAGCTTTTCCTAACTCAGCTCTGACAAGGACAGATGACAAGGCTGCAAAGGTGTTCAGTGACTTTCAGCCGTCTTTAGCCTTAAAATATGTAACCAAATGAGAGCATTGGATAACTTAATACCCCTTTTCTACTGCTTCCTCTTATCTGAATGGCTGCAGCCTAATCCAGCCTTAATCTATAGAAAATAGGATTATCACGACCACCTTTCTTCCCGCTCCATCCACTTTGCTAAACTTGGCAAAGGGAAATGGTTACATAGTTTATGATTGGTTTATTGTGCTGTCTTAGAATTCTACATTGTCGTTACAAGCCTCTGGTCATATCTTAAACAGGAGAGTGAGTCAGATGAACTGATATCTATGTGTCCATGTAAATTCAGATACGTGTATAATTTGTGCAATACTTACGGCTTTCTTGGCTTTAAAATCTTCACTAAATATTGTGTTCCAAAGAACACAATTTATGACATAAAAACAAATTTAACTGAATAGGTCCTCGATTTTTACTTTAAAAATCTAAACCAGAAAATTTGACCTTAGAATGAAGAACAAAAGGAGCAGAGGGAATAGAAAGGACTTTCTCGCAAATTAGGCAGTTTTAGTGAAATGTGTAATTATAATGTTGCTAAATGTATTTATACATTATACATTATAATCTAATCTTGATTTTGCAATGCAAATTTATACATTATAACCTAATCCTGATTTTGCTATGCAAATAAGGATTAGATTTGCATAGCAAAATCAAGATTAGAATTCAAAGATAAGTAGATTTTAATTTTTTCCCCATCTTTAAATAAACTATATTTGGTAATATGTTGAGAAGTAAACAATATAATTGCAAATACAATTTTCTTTAATATCTAAAATATTTGGCATAACTTAAATACCAATGTAACAGCTTTTTTTTTTAACTTAGAAAGCTCATTGGTCAGCACTTCCAACCCGACAGTGAGTGCTCAACTAGCTTTAACTATAGGATTAATTTTCAAAATAAGGATGACAGCTGAATTCTTTACTAGGAATTTTTAAAACCCAAAAGCCCTATTCAAATCAGCTCCCTTCCACAAATTACAATTCAGACAATCTTTTCAGTTTGCCAGAAATTACCTGGTATTTCAGAGGCAGTTATTCTATTACATTTGTTCATCCTAGCTAGTAATGAACCTCCTGTTGAAACATTCAGTTTTTGTTAATTATGAAATCAGGTTGATTTTCAGGATACACTGAAAGAAAGATGGAAAAAAAAAAAAGCAAAGTTTATTTGAGGACAAAGGTCCATTTAGGGACGTATTTTGCCTCTCCAGAACATGCCTCTGTCATTCCCAGGTATACATTTAACTAAGAACGTAGCTTCAACAGTAAGATGAGAGACAGATGTTGGAAAGAAGCAAGGAACCAGCTGCAATTTGCGACATATTAGCACTTAACCCTAGGGAAGATGACCAAAGGATTGAGCAAGTCCAGCTTGAGAAGCAGTCAAAACTGTACACAGCTTAAGAAGCATATTTCATCAGGTTGTGAAAAGTGGATCCCTTAGTACATAATGAGTGAAGTAAGTTTTCAGTAAGACTTGTAAGAAGTCACGTTCTCTGAGTGAAAATAGTGTGAATACAAACATGAGATTCGACAAAGTCTACTGTTCATTCATTCATTTCACAAAGTTTTTTGAGCATCCAATGTATGTCAGGCAGTAGCTGAGTATGAGTATGATAATAATAAATGATCCCTGCCCTCAAGGAGCTGTTGGTCCATGCAAGGAAATATAACAAATAGTTATGGTGCAGCACAATTAGTGTTTATGAGGAATACAGATGTATAAAGGAGGAGCAGTTGGAGCTTAAGAGAAAAGAAACAAGGTGTGTTGCTGAGAAGACTTGGAAGCAGTATCCAGATCTGATCATTAAGATGATTAAAGTCTTAAAGACAGGGCAGGAAGTATAATCTGCATATATCCTAGAAACGGAACACCCGAAAAAACAGGGATTTTTCAGTGGTGTTTATCCAGCACCTTCCAAGGGAAAGCATTAAATTATGATGTCCAAAAACATCCCTCAAGACTGTCTCTATGGCTCTGTTGCAGACTTGGTGAGCAATTAACTCATCAAGAAGTCAACCTCCCAGGAACTTGGTGAGAGGAAGAAGGTTCTGCTGACTTTAGTTACCACTAACATGCACAACTAGAGGTGCATTCTTAAAATCAGTTTCCCGTGATGTACAGTTGAGGTCTTTCCCAGATTCTGTACCAAGGAAAAAATAACTTGAGTGGGACAATGCAGTCATTTTCCATTAAAAATAATGGGGAAAGTTATTTTTAATTTCTGTGGGTACATAATAGGTATATATATTTATGGAGTACATGAGATGTTTTGATACAGGTATGCAATGCGTACTAATCACATCATGGGCAATGGGTGTCCATCCCCTCGATCATTTATTCTTTGTGTTACGAACAATCCAATTATACTCTTTTAGCTATATTTTAAAATGTACAATGAACTTATGGAGTACAGTCTCCCTGATCTGCTGTCAAACAGTAGGTATTATTCATCCTTTCTATTTTTTGTACCCATTGCCACTTCCCCAAGTCCCTAATTATCCTTCTCGGCCTCTAGTAACCATCCTTCTACTCTGTTGTATGTCCTTGAGTTCAGTTGTTTTGATTATTAGATCTCACAAATAAGTGAGAACAGGAGATATTTGTCTTTCTGTGCCTGGCTTATTTCACTTGTAACGATCTCCAGTTCCATACATGTTGTTGCAAATGACAGGATTTCATTCTTTTTTTATAGCTAAATAGTATTCCATTGTGTGTACCACGTTTTCTTCATTTATTCACTTGTCATAGACACTTAGGTTGCTTCCAAATCTTCACTGTCATAAACAGTGCTGCAACAAACATGGGACTGCTGATATCTCTTCAATATATTGATCTCTTTTATACCCAGCTGTGGGATTGCTGAATCTTGTGGTAGCTCAATTTTCAATTTTTTGAGAAACCTCCAAACTGCTCTCCACAGTAGCTGTACTAATTTACATTCCCACCAACAGTATACAAGGGCTCTCCTTTCTCCACATCTTCCCAACATTTGCTATTGCCTGTCTTTGGATATAAGCCATTTTAATTGGGTCGAGATGGTATTTCATTGTAATTTTGATTTGCATTTCTCTAATAATCAATGCGGTTGAGCACCTTTTCATATGCTTGTTTGCCATTTGTATATCTTCTTTGGAGAAATGTTTAATCAAATCTATTGCCCATTTTTTTAAATCAGATTATCCATTTTTTTCCTGTAGAGTTGTTTGAGCTCCTTATATATTCTGGTTATTAATCTGTTGTCATATGGGGAGTTTGCAAATATTTTTTCCAATTCTGTGAGTTGTGTCTTCACTTTGTTGATTGTATCCTTTGCTATGCAAGTGTTTTTTTATTTGATCTTAGCCAAAAGGCTGGGAAGTGATGTGCAGGAGCTTTTTAAACTTGGTGTGATGCAATTGTCCCTGTTTACTTTGGTTGCCTATGCCTATGTGGTATTGCTGAAGAAATCTTTGCCGCAACCAATGTCCTGGAGATATTCCCTAATGTTTTCTTGTAGTAGTTTCATGGTTTGAGAGGTCTTATATTTAAGTCTTTCATCCATTTTGATTTGATTTTTGTATC